AATAAAGGAAAAGCTAGGCATTGTCTATCAGGTGGTACAGCAATGTAATCAATACATAAGGGCTTAATTTCTCAGAAGGGGGTGCCAGAGTTCAAGCATACCTAGGTATACCCTAATATGTACAACCTTTCTGTGACTGCTCACTAGGAAAGAAATATGCTCAGGGGCACCTTCGTGTTGGGTGTTTCAGTGCCGAAACTGCATTCCAAACATGTTCCCACACTGATTTCTAGCAAACCCTGGTTTAAATTAAACCCCAGATTTAAAAACAAAACAACCATCTGGGAAAGGTGATGGGGGGCTTCGGGGTTCAGATGGTGGCTATAGTACACAGTTGTCCTTATTTTTTAAAAAAATAACAATTCTAAATATCCTTTCTTCAACTAGTACACCAGGTGGGGAAGTAGTGGGTCTAGGTATCTTTCTCCAACTACCACAGCCTATGTAGAAAAAATCTTAATTGCACAAGCAGCCAGATGTTACACTGCGCTCCCAGTGTCTTGTGTGCAGCACACACAAACACGCCCAAAGTGCACTGACCATTCATCCCCACACTCTTTTCGGAGGGCTCAAACTAGTACCATTTGAAAGCCCCAGGTCCATTTAACCATAAGCAAAGTGCAAGTAAGGTCCCCCCGAGTAAGGTGCCACATCCGAGTATCTAGGCTGCTCTATCGATTAGGAAAGGATCTCTCTCGCACGGGGTGAGAAATTCACGCTGCACCTCTGATGTCGATATGCTGTTTATGCCGCAAAGCAAAGGCATCTCATTCCTCTCCTGCCTTCGCCACCGCTGCAATCCCATGCATGCTTCCCTAGGAGTAAGTTCCACTGAACACAGTAGGGCTTACTTCCGAGTAAAGGGGCACAGGACGCCCTTGTCCTTACTGCGAGCATCTTAACAAGGAAACCACCCACCCGCTTCGGAAGCAGCGGACGAGGGGGAAAGGTGGGGATTCCTTGGGGTGAAGGTTCGCCTCCAGGACGGCAGTGCTACCCTCTGCTTCTCCCCGTTGGAAACAATAAAGAGGGGAGGGGGAGAGATTAAGCACCTGCGCTCACCTCCTGTGATGGGAGCCTGAAGGCTGGCCCGTTTCCTCAGTGGGGATCCGTTCTTGGGGGGCACGATGCCAGCCGACATTTTGCTCCCTCCCTGATCCGCAGGAGCCTCACAACCGGCACTGCCGCTGGCTCAGCGCTTAGGAAAGAGGCGGGCCTGCGTGAGACCGCGCCCCTTGTTGCTGATTGACGGAGGAAGGAGTCCTCCCAGACCTGGGATGGAGCGAGGCCGGATCCTGAGCTAGAATTCCTTGCAGGCGTCTTCCGCCGCTGCACCGCGGTTTGCTGGATGAAAATGTGCTGCACTGAGACGCGAGCTGCTCGCACAGAAACTGAGATTTGCTTAAAGGGAAAAGGGTCGTTCCCCGTGGGCGAACCAGACTGCAAGCGGCTGACTTCAGCCCCAGACTTCCTGGGAGCCGCCCGCGTACCCGCTGCTGCCTGACGGGGCGGATGAGCACAGAGCATGGATTCCCACGCACTGCAAAGCACACGCGTAAGATCATCCTACCCACGTGCTGTAATTAATCTGGAATGATTACCACGCATTTTAACCCCCTCACACGTTCATGCATGGAAAAAGTCGGAGTGGGGCATCACCATCGATTAGCGATTGTGAGTTCATTGATCAGAAAAAGGCCAGTTTAAGATAAAAATTGAGATATGTCATGTTGGCTTAAGCTCCACAGAGGGGAAGCGTTTCGTTAAATTGAAAAATGGGGAGTATGTAAGCTACCCTGGAACAGCCTCCCCTGTTACGTGAATAACATTGGCATGTGTTAAAACACTTGTACAATATGTTAGGGCTGAGAACTTTGCTGTCTTATATTATTATTAAACCCATTGTGTTCATAACCCACATGGAACAGAAATGGCCTGAAATGGCAACTTTCAAGTAAGCCGAAAGCAACAAAATTTTCTGTTCACATATAACCAGGTGGGACGGATGCTGCAAGCCACAAGACATCCCCAGGTACCATGGGAGCTGGAGAAGACAATTCATATTCCAGAAAATGTTCTGGAATGCTCAATTTCATAAATTAATCTTAGTTTCTATGACTGCATGGGAGGGATGCAATGTGCTTCAAAACCTACCTTCTACTACCTGTTCCAGGCAATAGTTTACAGTTCAGATAATTAATGAGAAAGTCAGCTTCCTTTTGTACCAAGCCAACCAAATTCACCAGTAATAAGTGACTGGATTTGTGGGGGGGGGGGGAACGCAAACACTTCCATACAAACTGTGTCCCAGTATCTGTTGAAAACAGTAATCCATATTTAGGTAGCAGGCCCAGAACTCTACTTCCCTATTGAGTCCAATCAACTGGTCTTATACTGCTTTATGAAGCATCTAGACTTATTGCTAGAACGCTCCCTCTAACTATTTCACCCATCTGATGATGTAAGTGAAAAATTGGCATGGGTCAACTCAACGGAGGTCATTGCTAAGACTCAGACGTTTCTGAGGGTGATACAGGACCAGGACATCTTCAGGTCCAGGCACTCAACCCTCCCCATCTGGCTTTGGGCCTGAAAGACCCAGAAAAAGTGTTGGTCCATAGAGGTTAAGTTGCAAGCAAGCACAATTTGTGACATTGTACAACACCATTGCTGCTTACAGGGCACATCAGCTAAGGCATCGGCGTTAAGTTTCCACCTTCCTGGCTCTGTGAAGCTTAAGCCAACATGAGATATCTTAATTTTTATCTTAAATTGGCCTTTTTCTGATCAAGAGGCAGATTTAAGATGTTATTTGACAGGGTTCAATTACACTTGTAATTTTGTGGCCTGATTTGATTCTTTGATATGGTTGTACATCAAAAGGTTGTAAAGAACTGTAGCCTTAGTCTTTGTTGAGAGCCAGTGTGGCATAGTGGCTGGAGTGCTCAACATTGTAGTCCCCACTCAGCCACAAGGCACCCTGGGTGACTTTGGGCCAGTCACTGGCTCTCAGCCTAACTTCCCTCATAAGCGCTATTGTTGTGAGGAGAAAATGTAGAGAAGCATGCAAAGCTGCCTCGGGTCCCTTGGTGGGAAAAAGGTGGGAAGCCAATATAATAAGTAAAGATGGCTTTCCAGTGCATGCTCACTGGCACATTGGGCCATTTTTTAAGAATACGGACTATTGCTCAGAACAGGTACCAAGACCTCATTCCTGTTGAAATTTTGTGGCTTATCGCATTCCTCCCATGCAGTCACATGGACTGGGGGACTTTGGCTGATCGGCTCACTTGGAAGCTGGTGTTCTGAGCTGTTTTCCAGAATGTAGACTATTACTTGGAACAGGTCTTGAATCATGATTTCTGTAGTGGTTTTATGCTTTACCGCATCTCTTCCGTCCAGTTATGTGCAACTGGTGGATTTGTTTGGTTTGCCCTCATTTAGAAATTGGCATTCTTCTCCTCAGAGAAACCCATAATCAATGCCAAAATCATCCCAATTCCAAAAAAAGGGATCCTACAGCACCCCATGCCCCCCATAATAGCATCCCAAAGGCAAAGACAACTGTAGCACAATTTACATCAGTATTCCCTATTGTGGCACCCTATGAGTCCAAGCATCTCCCAGGAAGCTCTGTTGGGAGGTAGAGTCCAGCACACCTGGAGGGCGCCGGCTTGGGGAAGGCTGCTTTGTCCTCAAGCAACACACCCTCTCTGGCCTTTGAAGAAATCGGCGAAGGGTTAAGCTACTTTGTAGTTCATAAATCACGAATTAATTAGGAAAGAAGGGACTCTAAAATGCAAGCACTTCGCTTTTACTGTTCTGCGCTCCAAACTGTGAACTCTGGAATGCCCTGCCTGGCCACGCCATGAGCCACTTCGCCAGCCTGCCCCTTTCAACCGGAAGCTGCCTGACTCAGTACGAGCCTGGATTTCACCCGATGGCCGGGCTGGCGCCGTGGAGCGGAAGGGCGCGAAAGGGGCTCGCTCGGTGCTTGGGCAGATCCCTCTGGCACCGAGCGAGCGCCTCGGGGCCGACGAGACGCGGCGGAAAGGATTTTGAAACGCTCCGCTCCTCCCACGGAGGCCTGCTGGGCGCCGGGCTCCATTCGCGTCATCCGCTGCGAGCTCGGCAATGGAGGCGGTGCCTGCGGGGGAGGCTGAGCGCCGGCGGCGCACCGGTCCGAATCCGAGCCGGGCGAAGGCGCGCAGGACGCAAGCCCGTCCAAGCCGCTTTCCCTTGAGGGGCTCGTTGCGTAATGCGCAAGTAGTTGGAGGCCGCGTCAGCAGCCGAAGGTTTCTAGAGAGGAGCGGAGCGAGGAACGAGGCTGAATGGGAGTGGAGGGAATCCAGTCACGCCCCGATGCGAGAAGCCGGAGGGAGGGGGAGTCAGCTGCATCGGGGAAATGGCGCCGCGAACGGGAAGCACCACCGGCGCTGCTACGGAGTTCCTGGTTGCCGGTTTACCCACTCAAGTCGAAATCACACACCACAAATCTGTCCCGCCTTAATGGCCCCTCCCCTTTCAAAAGAAACTTTCCGGTGGATTAAGGAGAGATCATAAAGCGGAGAAGCCTCTTTACTCGCGCCTTCTTGCTAGCCCACGACTCCCCACTTTCCCCCTCACTTGTGAGTCCAGTAAAGAGTCACAGGATCCGCGATCTTAACGAAAGGCGTTGACATCAGACGGTCAGTCTCCTTCCCTTTAGCAAGCTGTGAGGTGAACGCCCTAAGAGCCTGCTAGTCACAGTCCCCTCTTGGCTGCCTGTGATGGTGCTGGATAGGCACAGAAAGTTGCATGAGGTGCAGTCTGGCTCGAAGCCGAACTGTGCCCAAAGCGAGGAGCACGGACACGCTCCCTGGATCGTCACCTCAGGGTAAAAGCACGAGAAACAAGCCAAACAGGCGAAAGCGGAGCGAGAGAAGAAAGCATGGCACTAAAGACCCAGGAAAAAGTCCCGGGCTTCGTCTCTTTCCAAGAGCTCATCCTCTTTCCCCTACCTGAAGCCATGCTGGTCCTGGCGGAGACGTCTGAAGGCAACTAACAAGGGAGAGGGAGCGAATGGTCCTGCCAAGCTGCATCTGCTGGAAGGAAGCTGGAGGCGGTAGCAGCCCCCCCGGGGAACCGGGGAGGGGGATCGCGCAAGCACTTCCTGCTCCTAGGTCTCAACCCTAGAAGAACTTCGTTTCTGTCGAGCAGTGTGTCCAAGCTTGGGCGCGATGTGGGCAAAGCGGCTTCGGAGCAATCACGGTCCTGGCCGCTCAGACGTGAAAAGCCCGTTCCTGGAACGAGGCAGAAGCAAGATGACACATTCGCCGGGCATTTGAACTCGGCAAAGTTAAATCGTGGCACACAGGTAGGATGTTCCGAATCCCGCCTGCAGAGGGCGGTAGGAGCAGTGGACGAGGCTTGCATCTTCCTCCAAGGAGTTTGGCTTCCTCGAAGAGCAGCACCATCTGCCGTCACTGCTGACAACTAGAACTGGGCAGGAAAGATGGAGGCACCACGACAGCAGAACTTAGAAAAGTAGCTTAGTTGGCGGTATTTCCTTACCACAGTGCTTGCTGACAACAAAACAAAGACCAAGCACATGTGCTGCCTTAGGGTTCACATGCCTTTTCATTTCTGCCTGGGGTGTCAAAGCCCTTTCAGGAGCAGCAGGGCCAAATGCCGTTCCTGAGAAGCTCTAGGAGTTGCTTTCTAATGGGCCAAAAGAGCCTGCATGTTTTGGCTAGAGGCTCTTATTACCTGTAACTAAACCTTAGAAAGGAGGCGGTTTAACCTTTTAGAAGGGGGAAGTGCGCCCACCAGGAAGCCACCAATTGGGGGGAGGGGTGGCAAAGGGGCCTGGCCGTCTGTAGAACACTGAACAGCCTGAGAGTTAACATCCCTGCTTTAGTCCATACATATATGTGAATACACAGGGCCTCCCTGCATTCTGGGAATGCAACACCTTGCACCTAATGTAGCATAGTTATCTAGCCTAGGTTACCCTCCTCACTCTCAATGTTCCAATGAAGGAAAGACTGGAAAAATGCATATTGTGTGTGCAAAAGGCAGTCTCAAGTTGCAGTTGTAAACTCCACCTATCAAGGGACAACAGTGAATAAATGTCATTAAATGATGATCTCAAATACAATAAAGATGCCATGGAATGGAGATCAAGTAATGAAGTCTCAGATATGGGCTGGTATTAAATTGTAATAAAAGAACATCCAATTTCATGAGAAAAGAACAAAAGACAATTCAGTTTACATTACAATCTGATAGGAAGGTTTTGGCAAGCTCAGTACAGAGAAAGCAGCTCCTCAGTTAACCACCTGCAAGCTTTTACAAGAACTGTAATATTACACGATTAAAAAGAAGCAACTTTCTAGACTCATTGTCCTGAGCACATGGTGTACAAGAATTCCATATGAAACCCAATACTCTATGAAGCCAGATAATTAAAATCCCATTACACCACCTTGAAATGATCAGTACTATTAAAAAGTAGTGCGATTCAATTTTTTAAAGCTTGAAATAAAGAAGTGTCACAAGTTCTCTTAAAAACTTGGGAAACATTTATGTACTTTCTGGGGGTGGAAATTCAATAAATATTGGCCATCAGTGAAGCTGTCTGGTGCCCATTGATCAAATGCCATCAACAGGGCAGAAAACAGGGCCCCAAAGCTGATCTCAAAGATCAGACAGCCTCATATAGGTGTGGGCATCCTCTGCGGACGACCTGGTGGCTCGAGCTGCTAATGGCTTTAAACACTTTGAACTGGGCCCAGAAAGAAGCAGGCAGGTATTGAATTGGCTTTAACGCATTCTTACTGTTGTAATCTGTACTAACTGAAATCCCTGAACAGCCTTTAAGGGAAGCTTTATCTATGTACAACACATGACAGTAAGCTGGGTTGTATAGAATCAGAACATAGTCATTGAGGCAAGGTCTGCTTTCAGTAGATAGGGCTGAAGCTGGGAAACCAATTGAAGTAGCTACAAAACATTCCTGGCCACAGATGCCAAATGTGTGAGTCCATAGAACCAAGTCCAGGAGAGCCCTAGGAGTGTTGTCTAGCTAATTGAACACCTCTGTCCAGATTAGGAGTGTTCCTAACCCTTAGGACTTCCAGTTTATCCAGATTTAGTTCCTGCTTGTTTATTATCAACCAACCCCCACAAAATAGCTATTCAGAGCATATGCCTGAAACCAAAAAAGCAGCCTGTGCGGTACCGGCACAACATGCTTCCATTACCAATACCAGTTCAAGATCTTCTCCATGTTGCCTTGCAAGGCACGATACACACTTCTTAGGGATGGGTTATCCACTTGGATATGGAAGATCTTCACAATGTGCCTTTCCATTTTTAATTTTAAAGAATTGCAACTGACTTCTATGCTCCATACCTATAATCACAGAAACAAGAAACCCACATTCCTTAGAAATGAGCCATATTAAACTTGTCTATTTTTTCCCCAAAAGGGTTAAGGGATGATTTAATTATGTTGTGGCTTTCCTTCACTAGCTACAGAGGCTACAGTGCTAGACCGTGCTTCCTCAGCCTGGTGCCTTCCAGATCTGTTTGACTTGGAATCATGTTTACCTGTAGTTTTAAAAGTGCCATTGTTTTTAATTTGAAGAATTATCTGTTTTGGATTGTGCTATCCGCAATGGATTACCATGACAAATAGCGCCAATAACTTTCTTTGCTTTATTGCAGTCATAAGACCAGCAAGATAAAATAGCATTGTGAATAACAATTGATAATACAACAGTGCCAATGCAGTAACATATAGGTAATAATAATGAATTCTAAGTACAACTAAATAAACTCTGCCCTGTGGTTTTCTTGATTAGAATACTTCCTTCCCCTTTCAACATCTCTTTAATCACCACAGTTTTTCAGCATGAATGTCTAGATTCTAGATTCTTTCATATAAGGTTAGCCACCAGGCCCAGCTAGAGAGTATTTCCACCTAGTAAACTATGTTTAACTCAAGTATTGCATTTGCAGATAAACAGATTAAAGTGCATACTGACCCTTCTAATTAAAAAGAGCACTTTTTCTATGGGGTTCTTATTCTATGCTTTTAAAGCAGCCTGATGCAGAGTTTAGCACTGAAACTTTATTATTTCTGTGCCAGGAAATTTTGCTAAATTTCTGTGTGTCAGGCTGTGAACAAAGGCACAAGAACATGATTATTAAAAGATGGTAGCCCTATATGACGGACTAGCCCAGCCTTCTCCGATCTGGTGCTCTCTGTATGTGTGTTGGATTGCAAAAGCCATGCTGACTTGGAATGACAGGAATCGTAGTACAACACAACTGAAAGGCACCGAGTTGGGGCAGATAAACCAGTTCTGAGACCTTCAGCAGAAGTACCCAAATAACTTGAACATTATTCTATATCAGGTAGTTCTTTCCAAAAGTCAGAGATTTAGAAACAAGAGGAGAGATTCTGTTTTCGGGTAGAACAGCTAATAACCAATGATAGAAATATCTTCCACTGGTGTGAGCAATAACTTTTCAGACCAACATTATATGGTTTGAGTACAAAATGTGATTGTTTCTATCAATTTTTATTTATTTATTTATATTGCGATTTATATCCTGCCTTTTTCTTACAAAGGGCTCAAGGCAGCTTACATCATTCTCCTCCTCCATCTTATCCCCACAACAACAACCCTGTGAGGCTGGTTAGGTTGAAAGTCTGTGACTGGGCCAAAGTCGCCTAGTTGACCCCATGGCTGAGCAGGGACTAGAACCCAGATCACTTGAGCTCTAGTCCTGCACTCTGAACCAGTATGCCACACTGGGTTTTCTTTGATCCTCATCTTTCTTTAGCTATTACTTTAATTTGTTTAGAACATTGATACCCATCTTTCAGCAATTACAGCTTCCAAGTCAGGTTGTAATTAAAAACCATCCCTCCAAAATATGTTTTCTTTAAAATATTTAAAATAGTTATTTGCAACTCCACTGTATTTGATGGTGGCAGATTTCTTTTGTCCTGTTGCTAGTTGTCCCATCCTTACCTATTTCTGTCTGCACTCATGACAGGATCCTCTTTTGTGATGATGTGTGGAACCTGTAAGGAGACAGATTTCAGCATGAGGATTAGAAACCTGTTCTGGGCAATTTGTGAAATCGCTTTAATCCTTTGACAGAGAATGAGATAATTTTAGAAAGCTAGCTCTACGCAAGGGAATTCCATTTACTCTTGTGCTTCTCTGGGAGAAGGACATTTCTGCAACAAAACCAGGAGAGCAGCTAATAACAGTAATTTAGTGGTGACTGGAATATAGCGGATGGAGCTATAATTAAATTGTAGAATAATCATTTGTCCAGAAGCATAGTGTGAAGAAGCCAGAGAATGGCCGACCACTATTTCTGGTCGCAGATGGCCTTCCAGACTTCCAACCATACTGTGCAATTCCCCTCACCTGGCAGCAGTGAGCCAACATCTAATCCAGGGGTGGGCAACCCGTGGCCCTCCAGCAGTTTTAGTCTACAGCACATAAAATCCCTAGCCATTGCTCCCAATTGTAAAGATGATGCAGGTTGTAGGCCAAAACATCTGGAGGCCGATAAGTTTTCCACTCCAACTCTAATGCATGGTTTTTGCACCTGTGAATAGGAAAGGGTTTTGCAAAACTCCCCATTTTTCCAGAGAAGGAGGAAAGATGTTCAAGGCAAAACACAGCTTCGTTATATCCCTGTTCTCTAGTCATGTGGTCTTTCCGTAGAACTGCTCATTGCTATTATGTATGAAGAGTCAGAATAAGATTGCCTTGCACATCTCTTCAGCAGCCTTATGAAACAGATCAGTTTTTGTTCCCATTTTAAACAAACAAATCCAGAGGCTGGCAGATTCTGACATTCAGAGATCCAAGGCTGAAGTGGAATCTGAAATTCAGTTTTCCAGCTCTCTGCCCTGGGCCTTTGCTAATCTGAAAGCTGGAAAAGCAAGAGAGCAGCCTATGACTATTAATCCTTCCATCACAGCAGCTCTCTAGTAGGAACAATTATACATATTAATGTAGGAACAATTTGGTTGAGCTATCAAGAATTCTGATCTGAGTGCAGAACTCGTCAATTAGGCTGCCACAAGCACCGCAATTTCCTCTATATTAATCTTATGCAGCAGCTGAAGTGTATTATTGTTCCATCAAAATGAGCTCTAACCACATGATATCTATTGCACAATTCTCCTGTTCCTGCAAGTTTCAAACCTGTGACAAGCACACAGGTTTGTGTGTGTCACCATGTACAATAAAGGGGTAGAAAGTGTTGCAAAGATGGTTGTGCTGCAGTTCCCCATCCCTTCAAAAACCAAGCCAAATCTCATGTTTTGGGTTGCAGAGCCTCCAAAGAAATGGTAACGCTGAGTTCATTTCCACTGTAATTGAGTGTATTTATTCTATTTATTCAAAACTTTTCTACCCCATCCACCACTGACATCTCAGGATGGCTTACAATAAGGAACAAATAAAATAAACAAAACAAACACCGCATCCAGCAAGTCAAGATAAAACCCCCAGTTAAAACCAACTGAACATTAAAGTAGTGGGGAAATGAGAAGGTTTTCACCTGATGCTGTAAGGAATAAAGAACTGGTGCCAGGATAACCTCTCTGGGGAGCCTATTCCATCCTGCAGCCGTTCGGGTATTTTGAATAACAGGACAGCAGTCACAATACCGTGCGGCTTGGGAACATGGTGTAGCTGCCCATGACTTTTTCGCAACTATATTCCACACGGGAGCCTTCTCTGAACTGGTGCCCTTCCCAACCAGCATTGGCCATGGCTTGCTTGGTATGCTGGGAGTTGTAGTTCAACACATCTGGAGGGTGTCCGCCTGGGGACCTTTGCCCTCCTAGAAAGACAAGACTGGTAGGTGCACCATCAGAGATCTCCAGACTTCCCTGTATAGTTGTGCAATATCTCTCTAGCAGAAGTGCAACTTGAGTTGTATGTAACAAATAAGAGTCAAATGAAATGCTATGGTGCAATAAATAAATAAAACTGTCTGTACAGAAGGCTCTGAGAAACTGCCTTCTCCCTGGATCCCATTACAACTTCTCAAAACTACGCTACTCATGTTAACTACAGTTCAAAGCCAAAGGGCTTCTCTCCTTTTAAAACCTTGAAGCAGGGCAACTGTTGCAGCTTTTCTTGTGATTGTGACAGTGGGATACATGGCAACTTTGGTACTCCACACCATGCATAAATTTAAACACAACGATCATGTTTCCCCTTTCTAAACCAAACAATCCCAGTTGTTGCGAATGTTCCTCCTGGGGAAGTTGTTCCAACCCATTCATCACTTTAATTGCCCTTCTCTGAACTTTTTCCAAATCAATAATGTCCTTTGTTGCTGCACTCTAACCTTCATTAGTCCCAACCAGCACAATTAATGGGCATGGAAATTAGGAGCTGTCATCCAACAATATCTGGAGGGCCACATCTGTCCCCCCCTCCCCCCGCAGGGAGGGCAACTGGCAAGGCTTAGAGGCAAACTAGTCAAGACATTGGTGCCAGCTGGGAATCGCCTCCCAATGCAGATACAGCAGAGGACTGCTTTTCTGCAAGACCACATCATGGGAGGAAAGGATTGAATTTCCTATCCAGGCTGCTGTGATCCCTCTAGCTAATACAATTTGCATTTTCTAAAAGCATGCATGTTGAATGTATGGATGCATTTAAGAACGCTTCAAGTTTGTCCCCTAATAACACTACTGCTGTATCTTTCCCGCTTTCAGAGATAAAGTTCAAAAGCTAAAGGCAGGATACTGAAACAAATTTGAGAAATGTAGCATATGGTGTCTTAGGCAATATGTTGCACACAGATGGGGAAATTCCATAACTTAGCTGTTTGAGTCCAAAGGATTAACTGCATTCTTTACCATAGAAGTGTTGCTATACTGGGGGTGGGGGGAGAACCAAATGAAGTCCAGCTTAACAGAGTTGTTTCTGGGACCATGTTTGAAGGAAGGGGTTTCTCCACTGCAGATGCCCCAAGGGAAACCAACCAACCAACCAACCATCCATCCTGAGAAGAAAAGATAACATCAGGGCAAAACAAGCAAAAACTCTGACACTGTAAAAACAGCTTTAGACTTAAGGTGGGATCCTGATCTAATCAGGAAACCATGTTGCAAGTCTTGTCCCCCAGATATACCATAGATATGCTAATGTTTGTCTGTGCTGAAACCCTCCTTTTGATACATCTTAGATATGCCAAAATTTATTTTCCCTGAAAACTCTTCCTTTTGTGCTATTTGCCTTAATCTTTTGTTTTACTCTCATGTGCCTCTAGGAAACTCCCTGGCCAAACTGTGTATATACCTGGTAGGTTATGAAAGCATCCTTTATAGACTCCATCTTTGTAGTTGGTTTGAGGACTACCTACATACAAACTGCATGTATTTCCTGTAAGTATGTCTGAATAAACAGTAAATGTTCTAATTATACACCCCCAGCAAAACCATGTTCACTTATCACGACAATCAATATCTACTCAGATCTGCACAAAGCTTGCTTCCTACGTATCATGCTTTTTATCACCAGCCCACTTTCGAGTTCTTTCTCAAAGAAAATGGGGGTAAAGAGAAATGCCTGCCATTTTCAGTTGCAGTCAGGGGAATCTACTGGAGAGGCGAAGAAAAGGCCCTCGGCCAGTGACAGGCCATGGGGAGAAGTTTAGGCAGTGCAGTTAACAGACCCCATGGAGAGCTTTAGGAAGGCCGCCTCCAGAACAGGCTTCACTGCAGTGTGAAGAACGCGGAGAGCTCCAGAGCCACAAGCCACCCGGAATGAAAGAGTGTGTAAGGTGGTGCTGCAGGAGGGAGACGGATCTTGTGAGAGAGGCTAACCCTTAAAGAGCTTAAGTGCAGGATGGAGGGAAGCATGATTAGTATGTGCAGTTCCTCTTGCCAGCGTTTAAAGATTAAACACACTTGTTACTCACCCCAGAAAATCGTTTTGTTCCTCAGAAGGAAGAGGGCTGCAAGGAAGAAAAGAGAGAGACATTCCCCATGTATTCTTTTACTTTTTAAAAGCTTATTTTCTCCCAGCCAGCTCACATCCAGAAATGTATTGCCCCAAGGGAGAGCCCACACGGTTCCAATGTGCAGCGCTTGCTTTTAAGGCCAGGGGTGGCTCCATGCTTTCAGGTCTCCTGGGTGGGACTACAAATGCACCTTCCTTGAGCAAGCCTGCGCTTGTCCCGCCACCGCCACCAGCTGCATTGCTCCTCACCCTCTTCCTCCCCATTGCTACCACCTGCTTGCTTGAGAAGAGGAGCAGTTCTGGTCAGTGGGCCCCTGTTGGCTTGCAGGTCTTCAGCAGGTGCCCAACTAAAACAGTCCCCTGGCTAGAAGTGAGCTGCTGTTCTTCTGTGCAATGTGCAGCAGGCAAGAGCAAAGTAAACCGAAAATAAGAGGGCTCCATCTTTCCTGAAATGACAAACAGAATGTTTGTTTTGGTCCTCGCATCTCTAGAAAAAGCTCACTTTCTCGCAAGTTCTCAGGATGGCAAAACTGGGTTCAAAGCCAGGCTGTATGAAGCTGCAGCTGCTGCACAGGCGTGTTTCTCTTGGAATATCCATCCAGCTGTGAGGTGGGGGGGAGGCCCTGCCACCTTTTCCAGATGAGAGGGAAAGAGCATGCTGCCAGAATCCCATACGCTTCCTGGCTGAGTGGGGGAGAATAGCAAAGGAGCATAAATAGCTGCATCCAATTATTCTTGCATTTCTATGATGCCATCCACACAGAGCCTAAGCAGCACCTGTTGGGGATCACTTCTTTTCAGTTTACTGAGCTGCATCTGCCAAAATGAGGAGACTGGCACAGATACACTTAGCTCACAATGCGTATGTTAAGCTAGCTTCCCCATCAGCTCGAAGCATTTGATAGTCATCTGGAGCAGGAGGAGGAGGAACAGGGCCTCACCTCTTCGGATTCAGAACATTATCAGAGAAGTGGTCCTTGCCTTGAATGTAAGTGGAGAGGCCTCTTAGCACACTCTCATGTTACATAACCACCTTCTCCATACCACAGAGCTTGGGTTCCATGTTCTTCTTTGCCAGTCATTAATCTTTGCCATCTTGGGCTTTCTATAATTGGATTCCGAAGGTCACATGGTGAGATAAAAAGTCCTCAATCCATCGTAACAAAATTGGGTTATCCATGAAGACTTAAGGGAGGGGGAGGGGAGAAAGCGCCCAGAGCAAGGTGAAGGGCTTTGATGTTACCTTCTTAGCAGTCTCGGACCAGCCGCCTTCGTGCATACAGCTCTGGAGCCAGGCAGCTCCCCGGAGCACCTTCTTTACTGCAACCTGGAGGGTTCGGCGTAGATATTGCATTTTGATCTCTTTTATTCTTCCCACCCAAAAAAGGGTGAGTCAACCAAGCTGAAGAGCTGGAACAAACAGAAGAGGTAGAGAAGCTCGAGGAACCAGGGGAGGAGGAGGAGGAGGAAGAGGAAGGTGAGATGGGGAGTGGAGCAAGTGCTGAGGATAAGGAACTTGCCAAAAGGTCCAAGGAACTGGAAAAGAAGCTACAAGAAGATGCAGACAAAGAGGCCAAGACGGTTAAGCTGCTCCTGCTAGGTAAGTGTGCTGTGATGAGCTGCTCACCCTTATAGAAGGGCACCTCCGGCTGTTCTTGGGGAGGTGGGCTGCAGGTATCTCCCACTACCAATGAGAAAAGTGATTGGCAGAAGAGGGCTGTACTGAGAGCTACCCTCTGTGCACATTTTCTGAATGTATATAAAGCCCAGGAAGAATTCTGGACTTAAGATTCCAGCCATTTTGTATCAATGTCAGCTGCTGGGATGGGAAAGCACTTGTTTCAATAGAGCACCATAGCAGAAAATAAATGGCGATATGTCTTTCAGTCTGGTCTTGCCAAGCAGCAGACAGAATGGATGGACCTCTACTGGGTTATGCTCTTTTACAAGGCAAGCTTGCTCCAGGGCCAGAAGATACCCACCCACATAACCTGTGGTTGACATTGTACCAGGCAATGGACCACTGTAGATGACAAAGGACATTAGAGAACAGAAGTGAAGCAGATTGGCCCAAGCCCTACTTCAGCACACAGAAGGAAGCAGCATTTAAAAATAAGAACTGGAGAATATATTTTCCTAAGTCGTACCAGATGGTTTCTCATTAGCCTGATGACTTCCTAAATCAGCTGATTAGTAAGAGCACAGATATCTCAACCCATTGGATGAAACAAGAGGTCACAAACACCCTCCCCAGCAAAGCAGTCCAAGATGCCACAGTTGTCAGAAGAGATTTAGTATCTCCAAGAAGGGATAATGGCTAGAAGAGAAAACAGGGAAAATAGGCCTAAATTTTTGTTTTAGGATCTGCAAAAGCCTGTTACAAACAATTTTCCATCACAATGAAGGATGGTCAGTCAATTGATCTGCCTAGGAAAGCAGAGTGATTTCTCCAGGCATAGTTCCCTACCCACCCACATATGGAAAAATAGACTGACACCCAGCATAAAGGCATACTTTAGGAATTTAGGAATCCACAGTTGGCGCTGCCAGAATAATGCATCCTGTCCACCAGTCCTTACAGGCAGTTGAGAAAGTCAGGAGACTGAGGCTATAATGAGAAATAGCTATGGCTTGCATATGGGAACAGTAAAACCTTTCCAGATCCTTCAGTCTGTAATATAGAAGGAAAAGTATATCAATACTGATTCTGTGAAGACAGAATGGAGCCTTTAAAAGCTGGTATGTTGCAAAAATAGACTATTACTTGACAATAGCCACAGTGTTTTCTCCTTTTTTTATGTCACTTGGGAAGAAAGTGTCCATGGTCCTTTGCTGAAAATGCATTGATTGGTTACAAGTACTCTGTATGTTTATGGACTGATGTTCAGCCCAAAGCTGGGATTCTGCACCCTACATGGTTCCGCTCTGTGTGTGTCTGTTTACTCTCCAGACAGAACATGAAATCAATACTGAAACCCAGTCGTACTTAAAGTAAACCCATTGGAATCCAAGGGATTTAAGTTGCGAGTGTATTTATTTTATTTATTACATTTCTAATCCAACCAATAACTCATGTTCTCTGAGCAGATTAGTTAGGAATTCAGTTGATTATCTCATTGATTTCAGTGGCTCTACTCTAAGTATGACTAAGTTGAATTCAGCTCAGTGGTTGTTTTGTTCTTTAAATTATCAGTCCCCATGATGTCGAAGACTCCATCTTTTTGGTCTCTCCTGTTTCACTTTTTCCCGCTTCCTCACAATTGGCCCTGCGGATCAGGCCTTTTTATGGCCACTGACCTTCCATGCATCAACTGTGATAGGCAGCACCCTTACAAGTGAGCCTCCTTCTGAGCGCCTAATTACAGCATGCATGAACTCACCTGGATGATGCCCAGCTGGTGCTCACCCGGAGCTAAGAGCTCAGTTTCCTTAAACTAATCTAGAAAGTGAATGAGCAAGAAGAAAGTTGCCACTGAAGGGGAGGCACCGCAGAAGGGCGACACAGGGGGAAGCCCCTGGGTTAGGAACATCTCCCAGACATCAGCAGGCAGCATTTTGGTGTCCTCCTTACCCATGACATCAGGTGAAGCTGGGATGCAGAAACAAGTGGCCAAGAACATTTAAATCTTGGACAAAGGAAAGGAACTATCCTGTAAATAGCACATTTGAAAATGATTTGAAAAATACAGGCCCTCCATTTAGAAAAACCAACCTGGTGCCCTTCATACTTGTTTGAATACAATTTCCATCATCTGCCAGTCAGCAAAACCAATGGATATGTTAGCTGAGGCTGAAGGGAGGTGCGTTCCAAAACAGAGTGGCCATGTGACCACTTTATAGATGACAGTCCTCTGTGTGAAGGCCTGAGAGAGGACTGCCCTCTGCTTCAGTGGAGTCCAGTGTGGCAACAAGGAACCATCAAATAAAGAACTGGGACATGAATGTGACTGTCAGCACCTGGACAGCACTACTCACATTGGTGAGATGTGCATGCTTCTATTCAAATAATTATTATTTCTAAATTCTGCACATAATAATTCTACATAAATGCATGGCCATAGAAATTGTAATGCAACACGGTGTCCTCATCTTGAGTGATACGCTTCCTCCTCCACCCCATCCCCCACCATCAGTGGCCACCCTGCACAGAAAGCATCAGGCTGGGGAAGAGAAAATATGTACACACAGAGGTCAGAAACCTTTCTTCTTGCACCAAGGCTGCTCTTCAGCTCAGCCAGCGCTAAGCTTGAGGGATCAGAAGCCACTGCTATGAGGAGCTGTGAGTTGCAGGAGGTTTCTTCGTGCATAGAAAGGACAGGCTCTCTTGTGCCCTTGCTCCTGCAGAACGGCTCCTTGAGTTAACAGTTCCTTTGGAACCAGAACAGTGAGGATCAAATAGCTGAAGCAGCATAGATCAAACAGAGGCACCTGTGCAGGCAAGTAGCAGGTTCATCCAGGTGACAGCAGGGAGTGCTTAGTGTTTAAGCCCTAATTCTAAGCAGCTTCCTGTTTTGGAATAAGCAGCTTAAAGTGATGAGATGAGGAAATGTTACCATGGCTGCTGAAGAAGACTGAAGGGCAAGAAAGGAAGAAAGCACAGTTGTAGCAGAGAGTCTTAAGAATACCATCTTCCAGACTGGCACATCTAGAATAAAAATATCTTTTGATCTGGGTAAGATATGAACCAACACCACTAAAGTTAAGATATGAATCTATGTTGCAGTGTTAAGAATATCATGGTATTTTAATGGACTTATACAAATAGAAACATGAGATCACTGTTTTAATGGCTCACATGGGTACCAAGCCAGGTCAGTTCAGGGCTGATGGCCCTTACTAAAAGAGGAACTGCAGACTTAGGAATGGCGGAGCACAAAGGGGCAGGGAGTGGAGACATTTTACAGACCTTTGCACCACTAAGCAGAACTAAATCCCATTGAGCTCCATGGGATTGACTCCCAGGAAAGTGGGCATAGGATTGCACCCTCCGTTTGCTTCTGTTCACAGTCCTGCCATGCTTTGCAAAAGCTGAAGACTTCTGCACAATGAAAAAAATGGCTCATGATGGCTCACTTCTGGGCCTGTTCTAAAATAGTGTATTTCATTACTAGGAGGGCTTTCTGGGATTATTTTTCTGGATATGCACATGTGGATATTTTTCTCCTGGCGTACATGGTGATTACATGGAGTCTTCCATGTTATGGTGGGAATGGCTAGATCTACCAGTGTATAAGAATGGCTTTGTGCAGACTACATGAATAACCCATTCCAGCAAACTAATACAAACAAGAATAGCTATGAAAACAATTCCCAAAAGCCCTGCAAAACATTGCCCAATTTGGCCCTAAGTGGTAAGAATTCTGGTGGGGTATTTCCCATTGTTTAAAGCAAAACATCCACACCCTGTCCCCCCTGACCCCCCAGTATTCTTGTTCCATTACTGGACTCATGCTAGCAACCACCCAGCCCCAGTCCTCGTATAGCGGGAGCGTGGATACCTTTGCTGAAGGGGGATCTCCACCCTCCTTTTTGCTGGCGGGGGACAGCAGAAGGTGAGCACTCCTGTGCCTCACACAGCAGGGGACTGTTGAACGTCTGGAGTAGCAAACAGAAATTCAGAGATTTCAAAATGAATGCCTCATGGAGGAATGCAATGGAGCATATTCCAGACTACATGTGATTCCCCCCTATTGATGCTTACCACAAAGTATAAAAAATAGCCATTACCAATACACTTGAAATACCCTTTGAACCTTGCTGTGGAGCTTCTTTCCCTTCCATTGC